GGGCGGTAACAACAAAGAAAATAAAGATAAACGAAAAGGCTAATCAGCCGAATGTAGGCCTATGATCTCACTAGCCTGAGCCAATGAAAATGAAATATTGCAAGTTAAATAGTATATAAAGGATGAATAAAATGTATCAAGATGGATGGATGCATTGATTAATAAAAGTATAATCTGTGAGAAATCCTAAATCTTTATTTACGCCACTTTTGTGAGTATTTAATTTTAAGATCCATTTCAATTCGCAACATCGTCTGTCGGTGAGGGAATTAAAACGAATACAGATCATTTCGGTCGCGCTTCGTTTCGGTTGCGCTTCGTTTCGGTCGCGCTTCATTTCGGTCGCGGTTTGTTTTCAACAAATATATGGAACGCCAATGGAGTTTCGAAACGCTAAATTTAATATAACGAGGCCTAATTATCATTGCAAGTTCGTCAATCAATGTTTATCATACTTTTTTTATTTATGTTTTGTTGTATTTCTAATAAGTAACAACAGGCTACTTAAAGCAAATAAAATTAATACTATTATTACTAAACTATCAATTAATAATTTTCGGACGGTTTTTATTTTCGTTTTGTTATGAATCCTACGCTTTCTACTACATAACAAATACAGCAAATAAAATAAATACTAAAATATGATATGATGTTATATATTATTATTATTAATATTATATTATTATTTTTATTTATTTACATTGTATCTGGAAATACCAGCCAATTTGTCAATTAAATTACTGCAACATTAGTTTATTAACAATTATTTTTATTAGTATTAAAATTTGTTATTGTTTTTATTTTCGTTTTGTTATGAATCCTACACTTTCTACTACATAACAAATACAGCAAATGAAATAAATACTAAAATATGATATGATGTTATATATTATTATTATTATATTATTATTATTTTTAATTTACATTGTATCTGGAAAAACCAGCCAATTTGTTATTTAAATTACTGTAACATTAGTTTTATTAACAATTATTTTTATTAGTATTAAAGTTTGTTGTTGTTACTATATTACTGTATAACTTGGTGCTATTTTTCTTTTTTACAGAAACAATGCAGATGTTACAAAGTTGACCTAGTTTGAGATACGTTGTTTTGGTTCTTGCTATATATATTGGTATACTTTTTATTGATGCTTGAATCAAATAAAAATCTATGGAATAAGTATAGTCAATAGATTAGTTT